TACATTCAAAACTACTTTTTATATATTTGGCTTAATTTTTATTCCTTTATAAAAATATTTTTCATAAACGTGGTATAACTGTTGCACCTTCTTGAAAATAAAATTAGTAAACAAAAACTCAATTATTGTTAATTTCAATAGAATTTAAAGTTAAAATTTAAATTTAAATAATGACAGTGAGAAATAGGTATATCATTTGAATACGTTTGTTAATTTCAGAGACATTATTTATAATTACTATCTGTCACGTTATTTTTTTTTTTTTTTAGTTAAATCAATTTAAAATTCATACAATTTTTTTCTTTCAATGTCATCATATTCTCAAAACAACTATAAGCGTGCCAAAAATTAATTCACACTATTGAAGAAATCACGTTTTATTTAAAATGAATTAAGATTTTATAAATGTAATGAGTAATAAATATTAATAAGAAAATACTAAAATGATGTGATATGAGTTGTACACAATCAGCATAAAATAATTTTTAATTAACTTAGAAACATTATAGCCATACTATGAAGCCTTGCAATATGCTTATTGTCGGAAAGTAAAGAGAAAAGGAAACGGGTTCAAGAGAAAAAACACTTTAGGTCTGGTAATCAAAGTTTTACTAGTATTTTGCGGCGTTACTGTATATATATACAAGAGATGTCGAGGGCAAATTAATGGAAGAACCATTGCCGTGTGTTTTTCCCAGTGGATATTCACTGGGGCTAGAAAGAAATTAGGGAAGGGTAAAAGAAAAGGGAGAGAAAGAGAAAGTTATATACATGGTCTCTGGAGAAATAAAAATTCTGATCAAATATAAGTCGACCGTGGGTGTGTGTTCTCCTTTTGTATGTGAACTATAAGACCCCAATATGAAATGAGTATTAGGAGCCCTTCCAATAAATTGATACTTTCCAAATTGACGGAAAATTAGATCCACTCAATAGTTCATGTCAAAGAGCAGTTATATCATGTCGATTTGGTAATGGCATTTTTATAATATCTTTAAACTTAGTGCATAAAAATAATACTAAAACAAGAAAAATATTTAAGAAATCAAATTAAACATTTTTAATACCTATAGTTTAAAAACTATTTTATACACTGGAAAATCATTTTAATATTAATATTTATTTTTTTGTATTTAATTTAAAAACAAAACCAAAATAAAAGTTTTTCAAAGTATTGTGAGTAAACAGAAAATAATCATATTAGATAAATAAATAATATATTATAATGTTTATAGTTAACAAAACAAATTAATTAAAAATAATTAAAATAAATGTATAAATTATTTGATTTCAAAGAATAAATATAAGTATATGTTTGTGTGTATTTTAGTATTTATCTATATAATATAAACTAATTAAACTAAAATTAGACATTTTTTTTATTATTATTTTTTTTTTTTTTTTGCTCGACTCATTATTAAAAACAAATTTAAAACTTTGTTATTTGGTAAGTAATAAAAATAATACTTTAAATTAATATTTTATGGTCTGATTTTACGTTACTAATTAACCACCAACAACTATCAAGTTTATAGACAACATTAATTATCCTTAAATAAAACATTAACTCTAATAATAAATAAACACAAGGAGCAAATTTCATCAGTAGTTATAAGTATTTTTTTACAAAGAAATTGATAAATAAAATTATTTAAAAGTATTTTACAATTAAACAATTAGCAGTTTTTTCATAACTTAAACACTTTTTATGATTCTAATTAGTTTATAAATGATAATCTAAATAATAAATACTGGTAAAATATTCAAATATTCAAATGTTATCTATATGGTTTAATATAATTATATATTATTCATAGAACATTTTAAATTATCCAAATATTATCTAACAATGACAAATATGTATGTGAAAATGTAAATTTATATATTTTTACTGTAATATGTTTTTAAGATGTAAATACAATAATATTAGTTTATATTTTAGCATAGTACATTTTTTTTTTTTTTTTTTACACAAACATAGTTATTCTTATCATATTAAAGATAAAATAAATGTTTATAATATATATTATATATAAATATTATTATAGATTTAGTAAACTTAACTAAACTCAAAGTTTTAAAAATCAAAAGTTACAACAAGTTTACAACGTACTTGCTGATCCCTACGGTCAAGCTAGACAGAGTCTCCGTAAAGTGGTAATTTTTATCACTAAAAATAGATCTTGAAGTTTTCATCGACAAACCCATTTTAAATTCCCCTAGAGAATATCTAGAAAGTTTTAAATAATACTTCTATGGCCAGTAATAACAAGGAATAAATTAAAATATTTAAAAATCTATACATATATAACATAATCTTCATAATATGATTTGTTAATATTTGATTAAGATAACTGTATTTAAGTTGAAAACATAGAAATTAATTATCAATTTAAAATATTTAATAAATTGTTACGATTTAGTAAACTATCAATTTCATTTTCAAATGAGAATCGAACATACAATTCTTAAGTAATATTTACCGTGATAACCATTATGGATCAGCACAATCATTTTTAAATTAAAAAGTTAACAAAATAATTAAACATACTAATTCTATTTCCTTAATGTTTAGATAAACTTTTCAAAATAAATATCTATGTTTTAAATTGTAAAAACACGGTCATATTATGGGAGGGAAAAATCGTATTGCCTCACGTTTTTGATTCATTAAAATGGATTTCTGTCAATTTAATAATATTTTTACAATATGTTAGTAGTTTTTCTCAAAGTATTTCCTCGCCATTAGAAATACTGAAGAAAAATATACATGCTTTCACGTAAAGTAATATAAGTAATTATGCATTACTTCAATTTCGTATAACCATTGATTAAATTTGATTAAATACACTAAATTAATGCTATAAATACTGAAAAATTAGTCAATACCCATCGGCACTTTTTTGATTTAGTAAAATATTCCACAATAGCAGTGGCGTATTTACGGGGAGGATCAAAGGGATTCATCCCCCCCCCCATAGGCTATATGCACACAAATAATTAGTCATCATATTATTTAAAAAAATATTATTTTTTTTTTTTTTTTATCAATAATTGATTAAATTTGCATGAATTAAAATATTATAATATATTGTACAATATTCTCATTGATATCTTCATTTATTAAGTCATATCCCCCCCACCACCATGACAAAAATCTAAATACGCCACTACACAGTAGTATCTAGAATTTTGAATTTTGAACTAATTAATAGAGTCAGTACTATTAAATATTAATATTAATGTGGATACTATTAAATAGGATGCTCACTTTACTTTTATAAGTATAACATTGAACAATTTAAAAATATATTATACATACTAGGTTTTGGAGTGTATTGTAAATTCCAAAACATTTTACGGTTTTCATTGAAATAACACATACAAATATGCGATATTTTCGATATAATCACAACAAATTTAAAAATTAACTAAAAATTATTACAGTTAAAGGTCAAATTACTCATTAGTCATTTTTAATTTGAAATATTGTAAATCATATATTTATATGACTGTTTACCTAAATTTGTATTGACTTTTAAAACTTATTTGTATCTATTTTTGCGTTTTTTCTCGATAAATTAAAGGTTTTTAAACATAGATATAATTCTTAAAACATCATCTTAAACTTTTTGAATTTAATGTAAATCAAAGTTAGTAAATATTTGTCAACAGCAAATATATTTTTACTTGCTCTACACATCTGTAGATAAAATTATGTGTACGTATGACGTGTTTATGCGGAAATTGTAGAACTTTGGCACTTAACTCTTGTACGAAAAGTTTCATGTATCCCAGAGGTCAATGATAAATTCTACTCAACTCTATATTTTTTTTAACGTTCGATCATTCAAAATACATAATTCCACAAAGTAAAATTTTAAAATATTTTGTTATTTCACATAAGAATTTGTTTTGATATTTATAAAATAATCAAATACTTATTTTTATATCAGTATTCAGTATTATTAAAACTTCTTACAAAATGATAATAATAACCATTCAAATTAAAAATAAATATTAAAAATATTACATTATACTTTTATATAGTATAAAAATATAATGTTTTAATTCATATGTCTAGTCATAAATATACATGTAATGTATGTATAAAAATATAAAATATATTAATTTAATATTCTCATGTATATAATTTGCTAGAATCTAACTTTTTAAAAAATTTAACATAATTTATAAATCAATTATATTTTTAGATTTTAAGTGCCTAGCAAAAAGTAGATAAGTACTCAGTGGTTAGTTTTACCTATGATTCATTTCAAAACAAAAAATTTGATAACTAAATTAAATATTTAAAAATATTATCATAAATTATAATTTATTGGATTTAAGTTTAAAAAAAATACTTTTTTATTGATGTTTTAAATAAATAAAAATTAATTATCATTAAATTTAAATTATATTTACTTTAACAAAAATATTGTACAAACTACAAGCACAGTAATTGTATAAAAAATGATTTCAAATATTCAAATGATAACACCTTATTTTAATTATGTTAACATAACTAATTCAATTAAGCCATACAATTATGATTCCATAAATAAATATTTAAAATTTTTAAATTCTACTATAACCACAATATCTTAAGTATGAACTTCAATACAACAAAACCCAACACTATTTAATAATTACGATGAAAACACATTCTAAATTGATTATTTATAGGTATAGGTACTTTCAAACAATAGTTCTGAGTCAAACATCGAATAACACTTGTCTAGTGGTACGCATATTCTCATTATTATATTTGGTCCAAAACATGGGTACACCTCTATTATGTCGTGATTGAAATTTACCGGTTTAATTTTGAATTAATATGTTGTAGTTTACGAGATACCAAAGAACTCGAAAGGCTTGTAACACGTTTCTAATAACCATCGTAATATTACACGTTTTACGCGTTTCTAAAATGGTCGAAATCACATTTTTACGGATAATGGAATGATAGGAGGGGGATGGCGTTTCTTTAGATTACTCACTTTGATGCGACAATTTTCGCGACGAACCGTCGTTGATCGTCGAACGATTCGAATGATACAACGATATATTATGATCTATACGACGACAATGTCTACTAAACAATTTGCAAAAAAAAAAAAATCGTGTCGTTAATAAACTGTTCGGGCGATATATAATATCTCACTCATCCATCGCGTGGTCACGGTAAATCGTGGGACGACTGATGAATTCGCGTGAAATTTTCCGTCAGAAACAACCAGATACACGGTGCGCACGACTTGCGTATACGACGAACGAGCTCGAATTAACAGCAACGTTCGTGAATCGATGTCTGCGGTAGCGCGGGAACTGATCGCAGACCTCGGGCAACACCGGCTATAAACCTCGTGGCGGTCGGTCGAACGGCGGAGCAGAGTGAGCCACCGACCGAAGGATAAACCTTTCGTCCCATCCCTTTGCGCCGCAACATCGGAAAACATAAATTCCAATGTTTACCGTACAATGACGTATTATATATGTATATAGGTACGCACAACAACACAACGCACACGTAGATAGTATTATTGTTCTTCTTATTATTATTATTATTATTATTGTTAAAAAGATGGAAATGCTATTTTCTCGTTTATTTTTAATTAAATTCTGACCGACCGTGGATCTCCCGATCAGTTGGTACGGTAAAAGATTCTGAGAGTGCGATGAAAAGTAGCCATTTCACTCCTAAAACAAATTTTTAGTCCTTGTTTTAAAAAAAAATTGAATTTGATGAAATGTATTTAATTATTTTCGTAATTAAATTCAAAATTTGGTTCAGTTATTGATTATACAATGACAATTTTTTTTTTTACACGATTAATACCAAGTCGAAAAATGTTTCGATTTTCAACATAGAGAATGGTTTTGAATAACAAATCGGATCTGATTTGTACTTCAAAAAAATTAAAATTAAAAACAGTACCTAACTATTTTTCAAGAAATTGAGAAATACAAACAGAAAATTAATTAAAAACAGAAATTTCTATGAAAATCCAGATTTCAGCATTCAAATGTCATTCAATATATTTTATTTGTTATTTTTTTTTTTTTTGTAATTCGAAGATGAATAACCGTAGATGTTTTAAATTTTTACTAAATGTTCATATGATTATTTTCTGTAGATGATACAATTTTTAAAATATTTCTTCTGTTTTTAGAGTTTATAATAATAGACATTCAAAATTTTTTAATTTCTTTTCGTTTTTTTTTTTTTTTTATAAATGTCTATAAAAAATTATTTACTTAGTAGAAATATTTGAAAATCTTATAACAAGATCTCACATAGATTTTCTTAAAGATAAATAAATATTTTTAAAATACAAAAGTACAATTTATTTTTATAAGCATCTAAAGTTCAAATGTTGACAGAATTCTTCAAAACCAGAAAATTTACAAATCCTTTTTCAATTGAACATTTTTAAAACGAACATTTTTTATAGTTAAAGCTTAAAAATATGATAAAAAGTTTCTCATAAATAGTTCATACTGAAATCAAAAAAATCTATGAAAAATATATAAGCTTATATTTTCTTATAGATATTTTAAGTTCAAATTTTAAATTATATATTTAATCTATAAATAATTCATTATATTTTTATAGTTAAAAAACATTATTCATGGAGTGAAGAAACATAAGACTTTTACGTATATCATTCTATTTTAAACAAACAATGATATTTTTAAATGCAATTTTTTTCGATAAAATCATTGCAACCTACTGTATAATTAATAATACAATAAATAGCTTTAATAATAATATCAAAAATCATTGCACAATATATAATATACTTATTGATGTGGTTTAATACACCGTCTCCACTCAGAATAGTTTTTCGTCAACAATGATGTTACCGTGCATTAAAATACACCCATAGTCCACCTTTTTTTAAATAATATTACATATTTATATACGATCTGAACACTTTTATTTTACAATACAATTAAATTTGGGAATTCTGCTCTAATCAGTTACACCACTTACATCTATATTAAAATATTAATTATATTTAATCAGTTACAGGAACAACATTTTTAAAACATAAGAATAGGTTAAGTACCTAGTATATTAAGTGATTTCATATTATTTTTTATATAATGTTATCTTTTAAGAATAATAAAATTGATGCATTAAATTGCATTTTTACACATTGAAAATTAAAAATGAGTATTTTCATATCACGTTATGTTGATGTTTCTAATTTTCAGGGATAATTCATAACGCTAACTCTTTTAGAGTAGCATTATATTTCGTATAATAAGTTTAATACACTAGAAACACAGTGTTATTAACATGTTACATACCTAATAGGTTAAAAATGTAACCAAAATAGAACTTATTTTGTATCTTTAGATCAGCAATCATATCCAAATATTAGTTATTTCTTAGGAAGTGAAAAAACTATTAAAACAATAAATTATTGGTTTCTATAAAATATTCCGTCACCTGCAGAAGTGGTGTACGTATATAACATCGTAATTTATGAAGTATATAATGAAATTAATTTACAAAATAAAATCATCTCGAAAAAAAATCCTCATTTTCACTGACCCATAGTGTTATTTCTAAAGAATATGAATTATCATGATATATTGTCCCCTGACGACAATTTTTTAATTATACGTGTGCGTGCAACGTTTTACAATGTGTATCACAATGATTCAATACATTCAAATATAACTTTAATGTTAAATCATGATATCTTCATGATACATCATGTATAAATGTTTAATATAATATAATCTTTTCAATTGCATATTCTATGTAATTTATTAAACACCATTGATGGCTGTGAATAATAAACGCTTATAAATAAAGTTAATGGAATGGTAAACATTCATACACTATACGTAAATGGTACAACTGAAAGAAATGCTCGAAGTCTATAAATGTTACACTACAGTGCGAAATAAAATGGTAGGTATAATGTGATTCAATGTTTAATAATTTTAAACACTAACAGTCAACTTGTAACAGAAATTCGTCTATTATGTTTTTCTTTTATTATTGATATTAAAAAAACACTTTCTTTAATTATTTTTATTGAAACAATAGAAAATATAATTAAATAATTAATTTTCATTGCGTTTTCTTGAGTAAATCAATTTTTCAAAATAAATTTGTTGTATTATTTGTTTTTGTAAGGTTTTGTTGAATAATATATTCAAATTCGATTTGATGAGTTATACAATAATTAGTACGAAGTTATTTTATCTATTTATAATTATTAACATTTATGCTCGTTGACCAACCATAGTAATACAGTTATCATAGATTTAATATTTTCAATTTTATATGTTAATGTACTTCCATATAATTAAATATTAGTTACAGCATCAATAATTTAATACCTAATACATTAATAGGTATATAAAATATAATAAATCAATAATAATATTGATAAATCTTAAAAATGTAAATCGTTTCAAAATAACAATATTTGTCTGTAAATAATTCAATATATTTAAATTATCATCATCCTAGTTAAAAAATTGTACAATAAGAACGCCTTTTTTAAATCGATAATTAAGCTACTTTATTAATTTTTTCCAAATTCGAATTGCTACTATTATCTGCTTTCATATAATAAAAAATAAATCATAAATTGAAGTATAAACTATTGAAAATAATAAATAAAAAATTCTTTAATTTATAAAAATGATTAATATTTTTTTTGTTTATCATTTCATTATAAAAAATTAAATTAAATTAATAATGATTTTGAAAAAAAAACCAGGAAAGCATATTATATAAAAGGATTCGAGTGTAGTTCATATTATAAGTAAATCATTATAACGGACATGTTAAATTTAAATTCAACGATAAATCATGAAATATGAAAAAATGATTCTGAACGGAAATGGAATGTCAATCTCTACTTATAAGAATATTTTATAATTTGTTTTTATTAAACTAAATGTTTATTTATTCAAAGTAACATCAACATTTTAAGTTAAAATGCTCAAAAATTAAAATATTAATATTTAACAACTTAAGAATAATTCCATATTCAATATTCAAGTTTTTTTCTCGGTAATAGAAACAACATTATGTAAATTATATCAAAATATATTTTTTAAAAACTTAAAAATTAAAAAACATTAATGTCTATCTATAGCATAGAAAACACCAAAATAATTTATCTTAAATTTATTATAATATACTCTGTTGATACTTTTCAATGAGATAACTATTCAATTTTTCAAATAAAACCCGGTATTTTATGCTAAAACCATAACTTATGACATCTATTACCATCGTGAACTTTATTTTTACTTAAGTTACACATATCCGTTAGATAGAGCGGAGGGTTACTTGAGGGTGATTAGCACGACCAGTTTTGAAATTAACACAACCATAATTTAAGCTATTAGCAGACTAACTGAAAAAATAAATAGTACTCCTAGTTTTTTCATTTAAATTGCGCTACTGCGATCATTTATAGATATTAAATACATAAATGTAATAGTATGATATAATATATTAATATAATGCAACAGAAAACAGCAACGTTTATGTCGTATAGATTTTTTTATACTTAGGTATATAACGTAGAAAATTGATCCATCGTCCGTACCTGTGAAAAAGAAAAAAAGGCTTAATATTTTAAAACTTATAGTAATAACTAATATACAATAGTTATGTTTATAAATTCACTTATTTTTATATTTATTGTTTTGCATATTTGTGTTTGTTAATACTAAAAAAAAAATATCCAGTAGTGTAGTTACTACATATTGTTATTATTTTGATATAATATCTAAGGTGATGTAAAAATATACACACTTTCACTATAATAAATAATAAATATTCCTTCATTGTGTGTTTAGCGATCTATGCAATGTAGGTAGGTACCTATACAGTTAAACATTTAGGTAAGTTTTACTCCGGTTTTCGCGTATCTTTTGTCAACGGTAGACAAATATTTAACCGTTGTCACATAACCGTAGTACCTTTAAATATGTGTCCTGTTACTTTACATTATTAATTTTAATTACCAAAGTTAATGTTTGAAAATTTATGAAAAAAATTAGAATAATTAAATCAACTATAGCCAGTGTTTAATAATATTATTATATACTTTATATTATTATAGTCTATTGATATTAATTATAGGTTAGATTTTAACTTTTAATCTATAAATAGTTCCGGATTAACTTATTAGCAAAATAATCATTGCTTAGTCTCTCAAAAAAATTCTACCCGTAGAATGGCTTTTTTTATATTTTGAAAAAATACAAAAAAATTTAATAAATATAAATATATTTTCATAAATAAAATTATAAAACATAGTATATATGT